TGAACCCATCAAAATCCGTTAATTTTAACCCTTTATGTTATATGTTACTTACAAAGCTTGGATGCCTATAAAAAGCTATCCCTTACAGTTATATTCTTGAAACTTATCACTTCCATAGAAACTACACTACGGCAGATACCAACAAAATCATGAATGGTGTTGGAAACACAAGTAAGACCCAGTTATCCGGCACGTATAGCACAAGAACAAAGGAAGACTCAATGGAACTGCACAGTAACAGGTTCAGACAAAAAAAAAAAGGAATTGTTCTTTCACACAGTGCAGAGTTAAATTGCAGAGATCCTTGCATAGTGTTACAGTATCAAAACAGAAAGGGGTTCAAAAATGGATTTGGAGAGTCATAAAATGTTATTAAACATGTCAGACGAGATGCAGCCTCTGGCTCATCAAGTCCCTGTGCTGCTGGAAACTATGAAGATATTCCTTGGGTAGGTTCTCTCTAGATATGTCGTACTTGTCATGATCTTTTCCTAACCTCCTGTTCTACCACATAAGACCTAGGACAGTTACCTCAGTCTTACATTCCAAATACAGACTAATATATAAGATCAAAACACCTTAACAATTTGGAAATATGATGCATAAGATACCCTAGTAACTTAAAATCAGTTGATTCTGGAGCATTACTTCTATGAGAACAGAATCAAGGGTATTTGAAAAGACAAGGACAAATTTTGGGAGGTACATCCCAGCTTTTTCCTGTATTACAATCATCCTAGCTGTAAAAAGCATCTACAAAATTGTCATAAAATCACAGCTTTCAACACAAGAAATAGAGGAGACCAGGAAAACATATTATAAAAGAGGTTTTTGTAACAGCTGGTTTTCTGCTGAAGCAAATTTTTCAACTCCCACAACAGACATACTGGGTTGTATCTCACATTTCAGCATTCCAGAAAAAAATTCTCTGTACTCTTTTTGAAATAAGCAAATCTCTTTCTTCTGTCAGTGGTATCATACCAGTGAAATATCAGCACGAGCACTGGTAAAGGTGGTAGTTCAGACATATGTCACTATCAGTCAGTTGTTACGGACATTTCTGTCCCGGCAGTACAGTACTGTGTAACCCCTTCAGTCTGAACCACATCTCCAAACTAAATAGACTTGATCCTATTCAATGTTATAAATTCCGTGAGCCAAATAGCCTTGGAAACATTCATGGTTCACTTCAGAAGCAGCCCTTCCCTGGCAGAGTTTATAAGTCCAAATGACTCTCTCTTTGTACTGCTAAATTAATTTTTGCCACCACTTCAATGGAAAAAGAATACAGTTGCCTGAACGGATTTGCCAAGGGAATGATAAAATTATGAAAGCTGTTGCTTTGGTTCCAGGTGTACAAACGAGCAGGAACAACAAATAGCTGAGTCCCCCAGGAAATGAAAACGGACCAGTAGTCCATGTTTCCTGTGTTTCTAGGAGAGAAAAATAAAAATAAATAAATAAGGCTCTATTTTTGAGCCTTGCTACTTATAAGATATTTTCCTCTGAATTATTTCTGAAAGCTCTTTCTTAATAAAAATCTAAATTTACAACTACCAGAGAGCTAGAACTCAGAACTCAGATACCACACTATGCCCAGATCTATCTAATTAAATAATATTTTTTGTGAAACTACTTCTACTAACCCCCATTTTCTAGTGATGTGAATTGACACCATCATGGAAGTGTGTGGATTATGCTGATTTCCTGTGATGAGAAGTGAGTGTTTAGAATGCATATCCATCGCACAAAATTGATGTAAAGCATAACCTTAATAAATGGCTTGGAGAGAAGTGCACCTCTGTCACTTTGGAGACAATATACTTTGGAGACAATATGAACACTTGATAATCAGATAAAAATTTCACTTTGAGGTCATATATATATATATATACATATACATATATATATATACACCTTCATATGGTCATTACTCCATAAATGACACAGGTAAACAGAAAATAACCTGATCTCTCAGAGTCTTATATGCATGCAGAAAATTTACACATCAGAGTATTTTCAGAACAAGCTTTTTCTAGTTTTAATGATGGTGTGAATTAGATACCCACTTTAACTGGACAAAAGCAAAACTTTTAGACAGAGTCTTGGATATACCAGTGGACCTGGACTAACCGCAAAAGCACAGCTTTGAGGCATGGTAGAGGCAGGGGGCTGCTTTCAGACCACATATCACACTGGAATAAGGAGCAGGCTGACAATGTTGGTGGGGGGGAGGGGTGTTATGTTAGCAAAGTCAAGACCAAAGCAAGCGTAGAAAGCGTGACATACACCAATGGAGAAAATACACCTGGAAGAGTAGTTCCTGCTAACAGAGAGAACAGCTGCTGAAAAGAGTAGTCTGAAATGAGGTTGAGGGAATGGTTTTATGACTGAAGAATTACAGGTCTATTTCAATAAGACATCTTGCAGTTGTGAAGTACTTACTTCTCATTACTGATGGTCTTTTTAATGATTTTTTAAATTATGATTACTCTTACTCATAATTAAGTGCTGGCTTAAGAGCTATACATCACAGGAACTGCACTGCTGAATGGCAATTAGGCAGACTAAAAATGGGCTATACCTGGAAGCAGGCTTCACAACAGTAGTTGTTGAGAGTTTGGATGGAAGAGCAGAAGTGAATTCATGTTTTTTCCATTATTCACTGAATTTTTTTTCAATTTTTTTTTCAGAAAATGGTATGCCAAACTGCTGTTATTCCTGATCGATCTTTGTCCAGTCAGTTCTTTGACCACCAGCGACAGACAACCTGTTCATCATCCTCACAGCTGAAATCCTCCTAATCATTACCCTAAATCTCTTTGCTGTCATTCAACCCCACTATGTCTATGCTTGTCTAGTGAGGTCACGGAGAACAGATTATACCCTTCAGCTTTGTAGTAGCCTTTTATGTATCTGAAGACTGTTAATAACACCCCATTCTCCTCCATGGTAAGCTAACCCACCCTACTTTTTCTCCTTGGGCCATGTCTTCCAAGTCCTACTCTTGCTGTTCTTCATTGGATTTTTTCCAATTGATGAAAAGTTTTTTTTAAAGAACAGTACACTAGAACAGATTCCAATTCCAGCTAAGTGCTGAGTAGGAATGCAGAAGGATTACTTCAGGTGTTGCTCTGTTGCAATTCAGTAAATATTTGGTTCATCATTATTTAAGTACAGAAGATTACTGGTATCCAAAAGATGAACTGTTAGAAAATCTTTGTGAAATAAATGTAAGTACTGTGCAATTGTACACAGTTGCACTTAATTCAAGTGACAGGTGATCAAAAGTCTGTGGCATGACATACAAAGCCACGTTTTTTGTACAACAGAATTTTACTTCCCAGCAGGTAAGTAAAAAAATACTTCCTTTACTTCCTCTCTAATGCAGCGTGGGTAGGCAAAGGAGGCAGCTGCCTGCCTTAGCTCAGAATAAGAGTCAGCAAAAAAAAAGCAAAGTGAATAATTTATAATTTGCTAGAAATAATTGTTTCCTATTAGAAGAGGTAAAATATTAACGGGGCAGATATAACTCTTGCACTCTTTTATTGAGGAATTACAATCAACATAGGAAGGTGCAAAAGGTATTCCAGCATTTCTGAAAAAAGACTCAAGGCAGCTAAGTTAAAATACACACGTTCACGTGTATTGCCTGGCCTTTACGATGTCTGTTTCACTTGAGTGACCGTTGACTTTTGGTCACGGGCATAAATGGAGATACCTTCAGAGACTTCTTTTTTTTAATTATACGGATATTAAGAGTGTTAGGGGTTGGCCCTCAAAATTATTTAGTGGATTTACTTGTAGAAGCGTGTGTTCCGGGTGTGAATTTGCTCCGTCCCTTGGACGAGCCCACGGGCAGGGCGCAGGTGCCGCGCAGCAGCGCCGGCCGGCCGCCCG